CTAGCCATTTTACAAACCAGAGAACCACACCTGACCGGTGGCCTAGAACAACACATAAAAGAACAACAGGCATAACCGAGGTTATGGAAACCTGAGCCCTCAAACTAGATATTACTCAAACATCAACCAGAAAAAACAAACAACAACAACTACATCCAAGCCACTGAACCATAAGGACCTAGTTATGTATAGGACAACAAACAACAAAAAAGACAGACAAAAACAAGAGAGATCCTCAAAAACAGCAAGCAGCCTCAGTCCACTCTCTGCAAAGCTATCTTGGCTACAATCTCCTCTGGAATCCATGCATTTTGGAAGACCCACAAGTTTCGGGACTTCCAAAGCCACCACAAGATGTAAGTTGACAAAGAGATGCGAGCTTCCGATACTGGTGTCAGCTTCATTTCTGCAATTAGCCACCACAAACCTTTAAAGCCTGAAATTGTAGCTTCAAGAAAATCCCAAGACAAGGGAGATGCCTTCCAAACCATTTGAGCCCTTCTGCATTCAAAAAATATATGAGCAACAGACTCCATAGCCTCCCCACAACAACTACACATAGGATCCACATCCACTCTCCTCTGCAACAAGTTAAGAGCTACTGGTAAATTATTAGTAAAGCACTTCCACAGAAAGTGCCTCAGCTTAGGCTTGACTTTTAATGACCAGCACCTCATTCTAGCCTTCTTGTCCAATTTCAGATTATAGCTACAACTAGGAGAATCTAACTTCTGTATCATCAGATCAATAGCAACATCATAAGCCGAAGCCACAGAGAAATGCCCCTTAACATCAGGACACCAAATCCACCTATCTCTTACCTCAGGATTCAGACACTTCATTTTTAAAATAGCTGCACAAGAAGCTGGGGTAAACAAATGATGCAGCAAAGTACTATTCCAAGACCTTTCAGAGTCAGATATGAGCTCCCACACCCAAGTCACCTGTGACTGATCAATATTATGATTGAGACTAGGAATACCTGAACTGCATCCCTCCACCCAAGGGTCAGAGAATATTTTGGTGTTAGCCCCATCACTAACAAGCTTCCTGAAACTTGTCTTATGAATATTCATCACATTAACCTAGGAATTCCAGAGCCAATATGCAGAAGTTTTCCTTTTAGCATTCAGAACACAATCATTAGGAAAATACTTCTCTTTCAAGATTCTAGACATAAGGGTGTTAGGCTTTGTCAGCAATCTCCAAATCTGCTTCAATATAAGAGAATCATTAAACACCCTGAGATCTTTGAACCCAAGTCCCCCTGCATATTTAGGAGTAGTAGCCTTCTGCCAAGCAAGCCAGTGCACTCCTTCCTGCTGCTCCTTGCCAGTAGACCACCAGAAGTTAGCACATAGCCTAGCAATTTCCTTGCACACCCCAGCAGGCAAACAAAAGCAAGACATCACAAAAATAGGCAAGGCAGAGATCACAGCCTTCAATAAAACCTCCTTACCCGCAAAGGATAAAAACCTGTTTTTCCAGCTAACAATCTTTTTCTTCACAGCAGTAGTAACATACTCAAACACTTCTTTCTTACTTTTACCAATGCGTAAAGGAAGGCCGAGGTATCTAGAGGAGTGACATACCTCAATTCCTATTAAACACTGACAAATTTCAGCCTTGAGTCCCACAGAAGCATTTCTACTAAAGAAGACTGAAGATTTGGCTAAATTTACCTTCTGCCCTGTAAATCTCTGGTAAGATGCTAGTCCTGAGCATAGTCATAGCATTATGGGAGTCAGCTGCACAGAACAGTAGAGTATCATCTGCAAACATGAGATGGGACAGAACAGTCCCACCCTTAGTAAGTTTCAAGCCCTGCAGATCACCAATCCTGACAGCATTCCCAATCATTTTTGCAAAAATCTCAGAAACCAGTAGGAAAAGATAGGGAGACAGAGGATCTCCTTGTCTAAGACCTCTAGAAGGAACAATAAACCCATTCACTTTGCCATTGATGTTTAAAGAGAAAAACAGATGATGAAATACAAGCAAATACCCATCTCACAAACACAGGACTGAAACCCATCTTCCTCATCAATTTGATTAAACAGTTCCACTCAACACAGTCATAAGCCTTCATCATATCTAGTTTCACAGCCATAAAGCTCTTCTTCCCCACCCTATGTCTATTCAGATAATGGATAACTTCATGAGCAACTACCACATTATCCAAAATCTGTCTATCTGGTATAAAGGCTGATTGAGTATCACTTATACAAAGATTAAGGCACTCTTTCATCCTAGCAGCAATGATCTTTGCAATAATTTTATAAGAAACTGAGCAAAGGCTGATAGGTCTGTAATGGTTGACATTTTCAGGATTATCACATTTTGGGATCAAGGTTATAACAGTGTGATTCCAACTTCTCATCATTTTACCAGAATCAAAGAATTTGAAAATAGCTGCACAGAGGTCACCTTTAATAAGGGGCCAGAAATGCTGAAAGAACAAAGGAGTCATGCTATCTTCTCCTGGTGCCTTGTTGGGATTCATAGCAAATAAAGCATCCTTGATCTCAGCTTCATCAACATCAACCATCAGCCTGGAATTCACCTCCTCAGAAATAACAGGGGATATTAATTGCAAAATATCATCATCATCACAAGAGCCCTCAGATGTAAAGAGTGTTTGGTAGAAGTTTATAAAGCAGGCCTCAATATGCTCCTGGCTAGCTGCAACTCTGTTCATATTATCCACCACTCTAGAAATGGCATTCCTCTTCCTCCTTTGCATAGTGACAACATGGAAGAAATGAGTGTTCTTATCCCCACCTTTAAGCCATGTGACTCTGGCTTTTTGTTTCCAGAACTCCTCTTCAGATACATGTGATTCCTCCAACTCTTTTTTGACTTTTTCCCATTCCTCCCAGTTCCGCTGTCCACCAAGTGCTCTCATTTCCTCCAACTTGAGTGTAAGATCCGCAATCTTCCTCACATTCAAAGATTTAGCCTCTTTATTCCGCTTTGTTAGGGCCATCCTGGTCTTCTTAATCTTTTCTTTCAAAACATACATCAAAGACCCCTCCACAGAACCAACCCAAGCCTCCTCCACCTCCTCTTGGCAACCCGGTTTACTCAGCCACCTCTTGTCAAAGTAAAATCTTTTGAAAAAGAGAGATTGAGTAGTACCAGTATCCAGTAACAACATAGAAAGATCAGAGGCACACTTGAAATATGTCTGTACTTTGGCTCTTGGATTTCAGTTATCCAGGAGAAAGAACCGAAAACTCTATCAAGCTTCTCTTCTATAAAGTCTTCCCCCTGTCTATTATTGCACCAAGTGTAGGGATATCCCTCCATTCTCACCTCTAGCATTCCCATCCTAGCAATGAAGTTATTGAACTCCTCAAAGTTGCTCTGAGATCCAACTCTTCCCCCTCTTTTCTCTGTATCTCCACAAAGTGCATTCCAATCACCCCCTATGCACCATTTAGATCCCCATAGATGTTTACTTCCTTCCAACTCTAGCCACTGCATCTTCCTCCTCTGATAATCAGTGCTAGCATAGACTAGAATCAGCCACTCACTAGTCTCGGAAGTAGCCATCTTATATTCCACTTGCAGAATAAAATTGATGTTTATAACCTGCACTACCACCACCTCTTTACACCACAACAATAGCAAACCCCCGCTCAGACCAACAGGTTCCACAGTGAAATTCCTCTCTGCAAACCCAAGCTTCTTGCAAACAGTATCAGTAAAGAACTTGTTCTTCCTAGTCTCAGATAAAAAAACAAAATTGGGGAGGTGGATTCTTATGGAATCCTTGATCTGGGAAACTGTAGAGGGTCCTCCCAGACCTCTACAGTTCCACAAGATTGTCTTCATTTATCACCTTGGGGCCATTCAAGGCTGGCTACCCCCACCTGTTGAAGCTGATTATAAATTATCTTCCTGGATTTTCTGGATACAATCTCACTCTGCTCCTCCACTGGAAAACTTACTTGAGGATTGGATTGTCTACCTCTCTTACCCAGCATTAGAATATTCCCCTCAGAATCAGTTTCCATAGCCCTCTGCAGTCTTCCAGAGGTTGACTTCTTCCTCTTCCAAGTTGAAGTACTTGACTTTGTGAGCTCCATAGATGTTATCTTCACACCTTCATCCTCTATATCTGTCCCCTTTCCTTTAATACTCTCTAATTTATGGGCACTTCCTCTGTCCTCCACCACCACAAGTTGTTTACCATGCCTCTTAATTTGATCTTCACCTTGAATCATAGGAACATCATTGCATTCATTAACTTCAGAGCTGAGCACCAAAGCTACTGACATATTATCCCTTGGAGATTAGCCATAGGATGGTCTTCACTGGCCTTTCTAGGAGACTTATCAGCTGCCACCTCCTCCTCAGGAATTGCGTTGGATGGATCACCTGATTGCCTCAGATTACTATTTGTTTGGGATGGGGTTGAGTTTTGCGAGGAACCTCCCATCCTTCCTGTTTCCATGGCTTTCAACCATTCACCAAACTGCCCCACTCTTTGATTGCCTTCTTAAATATCCTTAGCTCTAGAATTGCAAGCCCTCTCCAGATGGCCTACCAATCCACAGTAAAAGCAACAACTAACTAGCTTCTCATACAGAAATGTTACCCCCAGCCTTTGGTCTCTAAGCTTAATATGAGACACCTAAGAATTGGCTCAGCCACATCATGTGAAACTAATAGTCTGAGATAACTGCCATGGACGCCTCCAGATTTAACTACAATGACATTCTTGATTTTCTTGAACAGGCTACCAATCTTTCTGCCCACCTCAATGCTCAACCAATTTAGCGGAAGCTTATGGACTTGCACCCATAAAGATATTTCACTGAATCCCGGATCAAGAGCTGTTAGACCTTCTCTCCAATCTTGCAGCACCAGATATTGATTTTCGAACACCCAGTTAATACCCGCTAACACCTTCTCTTTATCCTCCTTGCAACCAAATATAAATTGGAAGAAAGTTTCCCCTACCTCATTAACTTCAAATGCCATAGAAGTTTGCCAAACCAGTCCCATTAGCCTCTTCAACCCAAAGATATTAGCTTTGCGATCCTCAATAATTTTGCCAAGAACACTACTACGGCATTCCTCATCGCTTAATTTGACATCGCTGTTATCAAGTTCCACATCACGACTATCTTTCACCGACAGCTCCAGGGCTCGAAACTGATCCCCCAGATCCTCGGCCATTGCCGAAC